CATCAGTTGCGCCCAACAGCGCTGGCGTCGGCTGTCTGATAGATGTGCTATGCATCGCAATCTCTGCTTAACAAGGGCGCCCTCGAGGGCGCGAAGTTATTCGCGCTTCGCGCTTCGCGGTTCGGCTCCGATTCCTCATCATCCACTTCTCCCCTGGGAGGCGGCGCGAGAGAGCGCGAAGCTATTCGCACTTCGCGCTTCGCGCAGCGCGAAGCGCGAAGTTGGGAGCCCTTGCTTAAAGTCTGTCTTGCATACAGGACAAATGCCACGCTCATCAACGTACAGACGCGCGGGGCACCCGGGCATGTGTTTCGTGCGCTGGTGCATCTTCAGCGCCTTGCTTGTGAGCAAGGCAGGGCGATTCGGACAGATGCCACACACAAACGGGAGCGCAGTCTCACCAGGGGGGGGCTGCCCCGGCGTCGTTGGCGACGGCGATGCAGCTGATGCATCACAAGCAGATGTGTGAACAAAAAGATGCGCTGCACTCGTTCCCTCCAGGACGCAATGTCCTGCAATATAAACTCGTGCCAGACACTCGAGTACAGGCTGGGATCAGGGAGCAGGGAGAAGGCGGGAACGCGTCTCCATACCAGGCTCAGGTCATCCTGAAGCTGCTTGACCCAGTCAAGGGCCTTCTCGTTATGACGGAACTGTAGGACAGCCTGGAGCGGGCCTGGTGCAAAGTGAACTAGACGACCGAAATACAGCAACCGTTTTCGCAGCAGCAGGCAGTCGAGGGAAGATCGGCCTAACTGCTCACGGATGCGAACGTCTGAAAACTTCGCCTCGCCAAAATTGGGATCGCCCGCAATGCGTCGAAGGATGCGCATGTGTGGGCCGTTGAGCGTGCGAATGTACTCAGGCGTGCAATACATGATGTGGCTATTGAACAACAACCTGCCATGTATGAGGAGGGAGTCAGCGAGTGCTAGACGGACACTCTGACACAGCTCGGTGGCACCAAAAACTTTACAGGCAATAGGAACGTAGGAGCTCATAGTCTGCGAAATCTTATAATCGGCGTCTCGCTTCAGACGACCATCAGGAGTCACGACACACCCTAGACGCTTGTACTCATCGACTACATGCAGAGAGATATCAAACTCTGGAAACTTGAAACAGCGCTGATTTCCGTATTTCAATCGAGCATAGTGCTTGCTACTCTGCTTACCTCTGTACACTACCATGCACTCTGACTTGCCAGGCTTCCAGTTGATTTCTAGAGCGAACGCTGCAAACGTCTGGACAACCGCTTGCATCAATGCGTGGATGGCAGAGTTGAGGCGAGTGGGGGTGGAGGCGAGCAGCACAAGACACTCGTCATCAACAAACACCGCATCCATCACATGCTCTTCGTGCAGCGCGCGTGCTTTATCATGCGGATTTGCATTCCAAAAAGGGCCTTCGCTGCGAGACAGTCGGAGCCCGAGTCCTAACTTAGCAAGCTCGGAATACAACATGAAGAGTGCGATGCTGTACGCTCCGTTAAACATGACTGTGCCAAACACGCACCCTTGGCGACCTCCTGTGAATGTCTGCACTACTTCATGGAGGTCAGCATACTGAAACCACGCCATGCGGTGCAATCTAGCTATGAGCTCAGCCGTCTTTGGGTCTACCTGCCACTGCTGGATCTTGACATGTAATTCCGAAAACTTAACTGCGAGCGAGTCAACTGCCGACCGAATTAGCTCACCTGGTATACCGTCATTACCGACGCCTTTGTTATTCTTCAGCAACATGAATGCACGGCGCGCAGCGCTCGGTGTGATGCGCAGCACGCTAGCCTCTGCACAGTGCTGGAAACGTGGCGGCGCGGCCGCCGCTGCCAGGGCCTCAGGGGCAGTCAGCCTGCCACGGAAGACCTGCGCGAAGTGGCCGCGCATCAGCATGTCGCGTTCACTCCGTGTGCTGGTGAGCTCACCGTCAGGCCCGCGCAGTGCGGAGGCTGTCGGCAGCCCGCGCCCTGACAGGGCTCTCGTGATGGCGTACGTGGTGCGCGAGTCGCCCTTGACGTGTGCCCACTGCGCCTCCAAGGCTTTCATGCCGATCCAGATCTGTCGATCGGCCTTGACGAGCTTCCTGGAGACAGCCCGACGTCGCGCGCCGTGCGGTGCAGCATGGCCGCCATGCGCCGCACCGCTGCCAGCGCACGGGCAGCCTCGGCGCATGCTGCGCGGGCTCGCCAGCCACGCCGCCCAGCGCTGACAGTCTGGCTGCCGCAGCCGCCCTCCGCTGCAGGGTGCACGAAGTCGGCGTGCAGCACTGACGCGAAGGCGTACCACGCCTTGGACAGCAGCGCAAGCCGTTCAGCACGAAAGCCTCTGTGGCGTAGCCGCACCAGGGGGGCCACCATCTGGACCACGCCCCATGAAGTTGACGAGATCCATGGCTTCCGAGGTCGCTTCTGAGGGGGGCCGAACGTGGCTCGAGCATGCTGCAATATCCACGCATTCAGCTCGGCGAGATGCTGGTCCACTGACCACTCCCTCTGGGACTGGAACGCCCACATCTTCTGATTGAAACACTCCACAAGATGCGCGTCCGAGAGCTTGGTC